AAAACTTCCAATATCTCCGCGCGTATTTGTTGAAAACAGTATGTTCAATTCCATGCTAGGCCGTCAACAGGACGTCAAGAACATATTTATCATCATTTTCACAGCATCACCTATCAATAACGATGTATTGTTAGAGTTTAAATGCCAAAGTCAAAAAGGGGAGCTTGAGTTGAAGCAGAAATGGAAAGCAAAGAAAAAAAAGCTTGAAATATTGAAGGAAAGCGGCCGGGATACTGCAAAATTGGAGTCCACTTGTAATGCAGCGCATTACAGCGCGATGACGCACTGTAACGCGCGAATTCTGAACGCTGCCTTAGGAGGACTTTCGCACTAGAAAACTCCCACAAACTTGTGCTCTTCGATAGAAAAAATATGAATGCTTCCATAGCTTGCCTTTTTTTAGATGTGTGATACGATGGCAAAAGAAGCCAAGTTTGTCGGTAGGGGAACATTGAGTGATGAACAATGGAGAGAAGCGAATCAGTCCATTGACGTGATCAAGAAGGCCATATCTGATGCACAACATGAGCGTGAACTACTACAAGACTCGGACTCATAAATGTGTATGTCTCATGTATAAAACGTTGAATTTTCATCCATGCGAGTGACGTGAAGTCGCGTAAGCGATCTATGTTTTCATTTGTACAGATGTTGAGGTGAATCTGTGACCTTTTATACATTTTTTTTATTTTTCGAAAGCGGAATGTAACAAGCGGTAAATAATAAATGAATTCTGTGCAAGCCTGTTCGCAATTGTGATTCGTGAACTTCAGCAAACGGGGTCTGCTGGTTTGAAAACACGTCCCGCGATCAACATTGGGGGGGGGGTAGACATTGAATACAGTGACAAAGTGGTATTTACTCAGTGGTGGAGGAGAAAGGAGGGGGGGGGACCCAAGATACTGTGGTCAGGACATCTAGTGCCATTAGAGAGAACTAGTAAAATACGCCATTCCTCCTAAAATTGCCCCTCTGGTACGACCCCCCCCTCTCCATCCCTCATCCTTCCTACCATATCTCGACTTCCTATGGCATTTTCAGACTTTTCACCCCGTTCCCACCCCCGCCTCCATAAAACTGCGGAATTTCCAGCACAAGAACCAGGGCACCTTTTGCCGCTGGGCCAAATTTTCGGAAAATAAGATGCCCTCTTCCAATTTCGTCCCTGCTAGGAGTCCCGCCCACTCCCCTTCCTACTCACTATCTCACCAACTTTTCCAAGCCTCCTAGCGCTTTTACCGAAACTTTCCAAAAATTTTTGAATCTTTCCGCAAACTTTTGTTGTCGAGGTGCGAGCGGTACATAACGGACAGGGAATGGGGTCTAACTTTTGCGAGCGCTGGAGCGGCACGAAACGGATAGGCGAATGGGGAAAAACCGCAAAAATCGACAACCGGGAAGAAATTTTTTGATTTCAGCGCAGCGAATTCTCTCACAGGAAAACACAAACTCCCTCTTTCCAACAACGAGGGACACTACCCACTCTTGAACGTCGCTAATATAGAAAAATAACAATCAAAAATTTTTTCTCATGCCAAACACGACCCCCACCCCTTCCTCAAACCAGGTACGACCCCCCGCTGGGGTTTACCTAACGTAGTTCTGCTTGCCGCAGATAAAACTCCATGAAAAGCTCTGCTGAGCGAGCGTAACGCGAGGGAAGCGCATGTTTGAACCAACTCGTTTCCCTTGTCAGCTCATTCTCCCAATTCGGAATCGAAAGAGTTTGTAGCGATAGTAGAACACCAGGTAGACGGAGAAGCGAACGTTGGGTATGTTACAGGGCACGATCATTGTTAGGGGTTTTGGCTGAGCCCGTACGACCCCCCCCCCTGTTTTGGGGATTCGGTACGACCCCCCGTACCTAAACTTATGAAGCTTCTTCCCCCTCCCCCCACCCGAGGAGGAAGAAACTTCATAAGTTTATGTATAAGGAACCAGCGTGCGAAAAAAGGAAAAAAGTATAACATATCCTGAATGAGGCCCCCTTCGCTTTTTGCTCATTTCTATCCTAATTCAGAAATGAGAAAAAAGAAAGGCCATTAGGTTTCACCCACCTTTCCTCGAGTCAAACAAACTCCGTACTCTGAATAATTGCCAATAACAAGTGAAAAAAAAACACGAAATCAAGACTTCTCCCTAAGATCACTCTGAGCGGGTCCGAGCAAAACTGCTGGCGCCGCTCTGACGTGTATTCGAGTAAACTAGAAGAAGATAAATATTCGATATTCGAGTAAACCGAGAAGAAGATAAATATTCGATATTCGAATAAACCGAGAAGAAGATAAACACGAAAGAGTAAATACGAACGAGAGCAACCAGCCGAAAACCAGGAATCGGCGATTAATCGGTACCGGCGAAGCGACTGGCAGGACCTCAGCCCGCCAAGTGGTCAGGTGGTTTGATTGGAAGCGCGGACTTTCAGAATGGGCTCTTAAGGACACATACTCCGTAAACAAGCGACCTCTAGGAAACAAAAGAACGCAGTGGTATGGAGAAAGATTTTATCTTTCCAAAACATACTAACATGTACATAAAGATCGCCGATTTCATGTAGAAATTTGCGTTGGGGATTATTTAGGATTTCATTTTTTGGATAGTTTGCAGCGCGAGTTTTACAGGTTTGAACCAAGATATTTCCCTTGAACCTCAATAGTTTGGGAATCTGAAACTACTGTCGAGTTCTAGAAGATTTGCTCTTTCCAAAAAACTTACCATCGAACTTTTTGAGCTTCCGGGAGGTCATGAGATAAATTGCGTTGCGGCATTATTTGGAACACTCCCAACTTGTTCGAAAGTCCGTTTTCTGTGTACGGTTTCAAGGAGCGTGTTCGAATAGCCAGAAATACATGTAGAACGTATCCTGTGGTGGAGCAGGAGCAGGATGTGGTTTGTTTAGCGCCAATCATGCTAACTTTGGATGCGCCGCGCATTGAGGTCCGCGCAGAGGTGATGGGATGTGTCTGCGCCAATGTCCTGTCCATGCGAGCAAACGGTGTCTTAGATCAGTGAGGCTCCATGGCGAACCTGCTGCACTTGCCTCATTACGGTTTTTGCGTGTGACGAGCGGTCCCTGTCGACGCCGCCAGATTCGTGCTCCGCCAATTGCTGATTCCGATAAAGGAGACGAACTGCTGGAAAACGTCTGATACGAACGATATGGTAGTCTGTCGAAAGAAAAAGCAGGGTTGGCCTCAGTGCCAAGCGCGATCGCGGACACGCCCCATCATCCGCAGCGAACCAGAGTATGAGTTGTACTGTTTAGTCACTTACGAGATGATGTCGACTTATTGATATTTCCAGTTATTTCGGATTAGTTTGATGAATGAAAGTTTTGTACTACTTTTTTTTTACATATCCGAGTTCTCTACAAAGCAAATTTCGCTGTACGGGACTCAGCACACTGACACCTTTGCGCTGCTCGTTACTGGCTACCGCACTCATTACGACCCCCCCCCTCTCCTGGCGGCAAAATACGACCCCTGTTGGGGATTCCCCAACCATACATGGTGCCCTCGTATGTTATCTTGCCAGTAGGCGGGCATTGCCTATCGAGCGATTAATAGTGTTATATATCGATTTTCAAGCCGCAAATGTGTGCATCCGGACCGTCCATCCCGTCTGCCCACACCAAATGAGCGTGACAGTGCGGCTCAGCAGTCGAACGTGCTGGCGTGGGGTGGAGGCAGGGGGGGGGTGGATAACTTTCAAGATATCAATTTATGATCTCGAGCATCAAGCGACGAGATAGCGCTTGTTCGCGTACGCGATTGCAGAACCAACCCCATCCTACCCTCTGCCTACAAGGGGTTGTCGGTCGCCAACCTGAGGGTGAAGGTAGCTCCGAGCCACTAGTGAATAACGCATCAAGGAAACGATCCCTGTCACTCATTTCACAGCCGCGAAGAATTCCCGGTACAACCTCGTCCAGCGTAGACCTGAGCACTTTGATAATGATAGAATTCCTGACTCAGATTAAGTATGATGCGCAGGAGTTATACCGCTTTTTACCTTGTGACCGATTTTGCTTTTCAATAGGGTCAAAGCACAGCCGTTCAGTTATTAGTGCAGTAGATTACAAATGCGACTGGCCACCGAAAAAAATGAGGAAAACTATTTTCCATCGAAACATTATTAGTACCTGAGTCGGGAGACGGTCGTTACTTCCGAAAATCACGTCGCCAATTACCGCACCCACTGTCGCGCATGGCAATTGGGTACTCTTCAAAAGATTAGGTGAAGAGAGCGGCAAGCTACTTACCGCGCGCAGTGACACCTTCTTACAGCCGAGTTCGCTTTTTGGAAGTAACGACACACCCTTGTTAATAGTGATCTTATTTTCCACACATACTATTGCCGTGTTACATAGATCTCCTTCACTGCTTGTTCAGCTTCGAAGTTCCGTCGCTTATATTTCGGCCAGAAGAAAATGACGAACAAAACAATAAGGAGGACAACGAATCCCGTCCAAATAAGAAATGGCACTGGAAATTTATCAAAATTTCTGGGCGCCTAGATAAACATGAGGATCGAGAAACAGCCATGATCTCTGCAATCGTTGGGGCGTGTGACGGAGCGTAGATTGAATCATTACTAATGTGGTTTTTTCACCAAAGATGCCATCCTGAGTCTGCGCGATTGGCGAAAGTCCCCATTGGCTGCGCTTCAGTTCACGCCCCTCACGACAACGTTTGAGGTCACGACTGTAATGGTTAAAACTCACCGCTCCATGTTGATACATTTTTAAGTTCTGAATTTTTACTGACACACGTCTGTTCTGCCAGATCATGAGGATCAGGTTTTCCAACGAAAACGTTCGTTAATATCACAAAAATAACACCCTGGATTTGCCTGTAAAAAATAGATACGCTGAACGGGCCGTCTTCGCTGTGAAAAAAACAGATAGCACCGATACTACACGACTTTTTCGTCGCTTATTTGTCGAACATCAAAGATTAAATTGCGCTCGAAAATCCCGCTGGACCAGATCATGCTAGCTTGAGACACAGGAGGCGCACCTACTAACCATGCGTAACGAGCACGACGAAGCGCTGCGTTTATAGCTTTGCGGCGGCGTGGCGTTTACGCTCTCAGCCAGGTGGTGTGTTGGTGTTCTTAAAAGAGATCGTCACTTCGCACCTATCATGCCTCTTGGGGAGACTCGCCTGCGGTGTTGCCTGACTTAATTGCTCTCTCACTAACTCCTGACCTCTCGTCTACAGACACAACTGAGCCAAACTGAACATGGAAAGTAGAAGGAAAAATTAAAAGTAAACGTAGGAAATATCAGAAAAACGATGTTATCATGAACTTGAAATGTTAAAAACACATTTAACCACTTACAACAACTGAAATGCAGACGTACACAACATGAAATTACTGCAATCCAAATAGGAAAAAGGGGCACGTATTGAAAAAATTCGTATGCTTTCATCATGGAAGGTATCCCAAATGATCTGAACTTCTAGGCTCTGTAATTACTTGACGGTTGAATGTGTCTTGCGCCAAGAACTCGCTGCAATTGCAAGGACTTTATTGATGCCCCTCTATAGGGAGGTT